AGGTGTGTCCTTGACGATGCACCGCATCACTTGGATCGCAGTCCTTGATGCACCCAACCACAGCGAGGGATTTGCATTCTGCACATGCCTGCTTTCTTCTCTCTACGAAACCTGCGAGTGCGGCAGATAATAGAGAATCCAAAGGCGGCGACGGCGGGTTGCACACGTCGGCGCATTCCTCGTAAACTGATTGGTCGGCTTTGCAGATACTGTTGCACTCTTCCTCCGTCGCCGCCACGGCCGGGCGAAGGACGCACAGGACGGCTGCGACGACGACGACCGCCTTTGAAGCGGCGACACCACCAGCTGAAGCCATGACAGTTAACTAACGGTGGATGCCGTATGTCGTCGTAGACGGAGCTGATGAGCAATCGAAGAAAGAGCTGGTATGGTGGCAGTGCTTGTGGTCTGTGGATGGAGAGCAAGTGCTTAGCGTAGTACCCATATATAGGGCAGCGACCGGGATCGTATGCAGCTAGTGATGATATATCAACGCCCCCAGGCATGAACTATCCCTTCCCAGCATCATATTTGGAGAATTATTGCAGTGCGTCGTTGCTTGCACGACCTCAGGATTTGATTTCAAGATCCATCGTGTATACCCCGATGCTTGGCCGAAGTTGCATATACGTATCGGATACTCTGATACTACGATACTGCCTCCGATACCATATCGAAGAACTATCAGATAATATCACCAATAAAAATAAATTAATTAAATCTCGATACTTCGTTGATACTTGCCTGATACTTATACTTATTGGATCGGTAATGCTTGGTTGAGAGTGTTCGGACGCACGGATGGACCGACCGCGCGCGCGTGTTACGCCCAATAAAAAAAGGGGCGCATAGTTACAGTCCGACGTGGTCTGCGCTTGTCCTTTGTGCGGGAGCACATGGGAGCGTGTGTGGGCACTCGTTTGGGGTGCATGCGGCGCATGGGGGCCATGCATGCGCGTGACCACAAAGGGAGGACTGGCTGCCTGCTATATCCACTACTGGATGGACCAGCCGGCCAGGCCCCTAGCTGCACGCGCCCAGTGCCGCAGGCCTCCTTACCGTGCCTGTCGTCTGCTGCCTAGCGCCTAGGCCTGCTGCTGCTTGCCATGCAGCTCTTTTCTCTCTGTGTGTGTTATCTGCGCCCAGGCCAAGCTTACTGCATGCTGCCTGCCGCATTGATGCTTTGGTTGACCAGCTTAGGCGCTTAGCTAGTTGGAGGGCTGGCTAGGCCGCTTGCCTGTTTGTGAGAGTAGCGCGGGCCCACATCTGCATGGCAGCTGAGTGATGACCCAAATTTTCCAATCACTCCATGGCATATAGCTCCGTATGTTTCATGCGTTTTCTGATGTATGTCTCATCCAGATGTTGAATGTGTTTCATTTGAATATTGTATATGTTGCAATACCTATACACGTATGTTGCAAGTGTATGTTACAAATATTTCAGCTGTTTTAAACGTATGTTGCAAGTGTGTTATCTGGATATTGCATCTGTTGCAATGGCTATACACGTTTGTTATAAGTAGTGTATGTTTCATATGTTTTAGTTGTTTCAAACATGCGTCGCAAGTGTTTTATCCAGATGTTGCATATATTGCACTGGCTATACACGTATGTTGCAAGTGTATGTTTCAAATGTTTTATTTGCTTCAAACGTATGTTGCAAGTTGCATATGTTGCGGTGGCCATACACATATGTTGCAAAGCGTATGTTTGTAAAAGTTTTATTTATTTCGGATGTATGTTGCAGCAAATGCTTTTATGTTGCGAGTGTTGCATGATCAGGCACGGGTAGTGGGCGTAGACGGAGGTGGTCCCCTCGGGCGCAGCGGTCCCCGCGTGCACTCGGGAAGCGAAGCGTACGCGGCGACCCCCACATGCATGCACAGGCACATGCGTACCGCAGCAGCAGGCGGGACCAGGCCGGCAGGCGCGGTAGCAACAGCGCGCGGACAGGTGCGTCAGCAGGCAGGAGCTGCATGCATGCACTGTGGATCCACCCAGACAAAGTGGGAGGCTGAGGCGCGCTGCACGCGTCCCTTCCGTTGGCCGCATGCATCAAGGGCTGCCGCATGCAGAGGGAGCACGTCAAGCACGTGGGCGGGCAGTATGCGCGGATGTCCAGGCGCCATTCTTTTCATAATCTTATACTTGGCAACCCATAACCCTCCAAATTGACGGCCATCATCGTATCTGTCCAGTTCGATGACTCGTTTGCACAACCGTAATATTTATTATTGTGTTGTATAAGAACCTTAAAACCAAGTATTATATTGTCTTAGATGCTTCATGGCACTTGCTTTCTGTCTCTAATCATTGAAGCCTTAATCTTTTTTTGGTAAGACCAAGTATTATGCTATCTTTTATGCATTATCCGATTACCTACCTTTGTGTCTTTTTTTTTTTTTTGCCATTTTTGTTTGTTGATTGTTCTGCTAGAGTGAAAAATGTTATGAGTAGATGTATTCAGATTTTTGGTATTTATATACTTGTCATATCGGCGTATCCTTGTTTTTGGAAAATACCGTGTCACCGTATCGTTATATCTGCAGTATCGGCATATCAGTATCCCGCGTATCGGTGCAACCTAGCATAGCTACCAAACAAGTCAGCCTGATCGTCCTTGCAATTTTCCAAATCAGATGTCCAGATGCAGCGCCAGCACGCCGTGCGTGAAACAAACCAATCATATCTTTGGGCCACGCCTGGGCCTTATAGTAGCAATAGAGAAGCCCAAGTTCAATTGGATTAGTGGAAGTCGAGCAGTTCTGGCCTTCCAGCAGGCTCCGCCGCCGTTCGCCTTCCTCGACGCCTCGTCAATTGCAGTTCCAGGCTTGGCTCGGTGCAGAGTCGCAGAGCCGTCGCCATCGCTGCCTCGCTAGCCAGTGGCCACCTCAGCCCCTCCCTCCGCCACTGAATGGTGGTGCGTGTGTGCATGGTTCCTTTATCAAGTTCTGCTCAAACACCTCAATTTTTATTATTACACTAGCAAATATAATATGATCGTGCGTTGCAACGGGTGAAAAAACATCAAATAAAATAAGATTTCATATTTCATATCTAGTACTCGTACGTATCGTATATCCCTACAGCACCAAACCTTTGTCTAGCATATATAGAATCCGATAGCTTGCAACGAAATCAGTTGCACATCCTCTGCACGCCCGTGTTTAAGAGAAACGGACTCTGTTGATAGAGACCAAGAGGGAACAAAAACAGCCTGTAACTCTTCCCTGGTCTCGTGAAAATTAAATAAAAACTGGACAGAAGACAAAAGGAAAAGGAAAATAAAATAGAACCGAATCCAACAAACTTCTCATGGTATAAGAGGTAAGGTTAGAGTAAGATAAGGTTTGCCTAATTTCTATTTTATTTTTTATTATTTGGATTAGGATTATGATTCTTATTCAGCTTTCTCGAAAGGATCTATTTAATTAGGATTCCTAATTTGTGTCTAAGCCGTGCATATTGTTATATAAAAAAACATGAGGCCATAGATAGACCAACATAATTCACAAAGTTAGTTAGAGGAGGGCCGGACCGAAAAAAAAATAGGAGAGAAATTTTACAAACTTTAATATTCGGTATAGATATAGTTATAGATAATATTAGGTATATAGACTCGTATAACGCTACCGATCAGGGGCGGACCAAAGAGGGCCCCGTGAGGGCCCAGACCGTCACTCAACTTTCAGAAATCAGTGATATAGCCCATGTTTTCACCATTAGTACCCCACTCAGCCCATTGAGGTCTCTTCAATCAGCCCAACCTCTTGTCAAGTTTCAAGCCCACTAAGAAAGAATTAGCCCAACAGCCTAGTCCACCAAGGAAAAGGAGCAGCCATGGACTCCTAGATGCCTGGACGGTTAAGCCTCTTCTCGTCCCCTCTGTTGTGATGTGCTCTGCTGCTTGTGTCTTTGCTTTTCTCTGCAGATGTTTTCTTTGTGTGGAAGTTATCCAGTTCTCTTCTGTCAACTTAAATGAGTTGCCGCATGGGAAGATATTAATTAAGGTGTGGCTTCATTTTGCCGTGGTGCTTTCTTTGTTTGGTGCTTATTAGGAACAGAATTGCCTTGCTGCATCTTTCTTGGACACTATGCTCGCTGTCTAAGTAGTTTATCTATGTTGTATCTGTACTCTTCCATAACCTTTCTTTCGTAACCTGACCTGCTCTTGTTTACCACTTTCGTAAACATTCATATATTATTTCTTTTTGTTCATTATTAGTTGGTGCTCCACTATCATCTCGATGTATTTAATCTATATCTCTTATAAAGGTAATCCTTTTTATTTCGAATTCTTCGCGATCCCTGCAGCAACGCGCGAGATATTTTCCAGTAAAGGTCTATGTTAAAACACAACAGGTGAGTCCCACTCCCACCAGGGCCGAAAAACATCGATAGGCGCCGATGCCCCAACACTGAATCCTCGGTGTTGTGTATTGTTGGTTTGCAGGTCAGAATCATTTCTAAGGTGATAAACAATTTCTTCCTTTTCTGCTCTCTGCGGAAAGTGTGTAGTACCATCAAACATGCACGCAGAAAAAGGTGTCACATCAGGGTTTGCACTTTGATGGGTAGCGTCCCACCAGATAGCACTGCCCCAAATCAAAAGCACTTTCACTTTTCTACTCTCTTTCTTAATTGAATATAGTGGCATGTCAGTTTTTTTTTGCTATAGAAATATTAGTACATACATGTAATTCAGGTAAGGCCAGAACTGGCCTTAGTGTTCTCAATAATAAAAGTAAAGTGTCGTTGTGTCAATGTTTAAACCAGAAATACCATGCGGGGTGAGGAAAAGAAATGCATCAAAAAAATTGGGTCCTCAGAGAGCATGTCTTTGTTTGTTTGGATGCGCACAAATAATATAATCAATCAATTGATCAATAAAAATCATATGGACGCGACAAAACACGACGAAACATACACATGGAATGGAAATACGGAATGGAAACACGGGGAATCTGCCACTCAGAAACAGCTCAACGCATGCATTCGTCACGGGAAACCCGGGGCGGCGCCGGCGAGGAACCTCTGCGCTAGGCGCTCGTAGCGGAACCCGTCGGCGACGGAGTTGTCCGCGGCCCAGACGAAGATGCCGTGCAGCCTCCCTGGCGGCGCAGCTCCCGGCACGCCCTGAAGAACCCTTTCCGGGCCGCAGCCCGTTGCTGGCCGGGTCGGTCCCGAAACTGACGAGCACTTTGCCCCCGCCGCCGGCGCCGGCGTACCGGCCGCTCTGCTCGTAGTAGTAGCCCAGGAATTCCGGCACCGTGGTGTTGGACGGGTACGCGTAGAACTGGAAGTTGACGTAGTCGAAGTCGCGGCCGTAGCGGCGCCACAGCTCGCCGTAGTGCGCCTGCACGTCCGGGTTGGCGAAGGGCGCGATGGACGCGACGGAGATGACGCCGGCGGACTTGAGCGCGCGCACGAGGCGGCCGACGCACTCCGCGAAGACCTCCGGCGTCTCGCGCTCCCCGAAGTGCTCGTAGTCGATGTCGACGCCGTCGATGCCGTACCGGGTGATGATGGCCGTGAGGGAGGCGACGGCGTTGTCCACCCAGGCGTCCACCGAGGACGCGCGGAACGTGGCGTTGTAGCCGAACACGGTGTCGCCGCCGAGGCTGAGCGCGACGCGGGTGTTGGGGAGGAGGAGGAGGAGGGGGGCTTGAGGGCGGACACGGCGGCCGGGGTGAGGTGCGCCTCGTCCCAGAAGACGGCGAAGCGGCCGTCGTCGGTGGGCACAGGGGGGGCGCCGCGGAGGCGTTGGCGGCGTCGGCGGCGGCGTAGTCGATGGCGAAGGAGAGGATGAAGTGGAAGTCCACGCCCGGGTGCACCGGCACGTCCGCGAACGTCACGTTCTGGCCCTCCGCGCCGATGTACTCACGGAACAGAGGGCGCGGCGACGACGGTGGTGCCCAGCTCGGCGCCGCCGCCGTTGCTGCCGTGGAGGCCGCGACGACAACGAGCGCCGCAGCAGCGATCAACAGGCTGAGAGAAGCCATGACTGACGGTAGGAGGTTAGTCGATGAAGATGCATGCACTGACATGGATTTCCAACGCATATATAGGAATAGGAGTAGAGAACAGAAGACTATCTGACTTGTGACTGGTAGGGTCTAAGGTGAAGAGATTTGATTCGGTCAGTGTTGTTGGTGAGCTAGTGTGTGTGATCGATCCAGCTGCCGCCTGCAGGCCGTGCACTGGTACTCAGCTATGGCCGGCAAGTGCCGTCGTGCTCTCGCTCATTGGTCATTCCAATGCGAGCACAGTCACCTGCTCCTGCCAACCCTACGTGTGTGGTATGGCCGGCAGCGTGCAGGCGATCACGGATGGCCTACAGCTACAGACAGTACAATCTGTCTGTCTCCCTTCCAAGAAAACAAATGAGACGACGGAGCACCGAGGCCCCATTTCGAATGGCTGTAAACCGTCCCGGCGTCCCCGGAGGAGCAGGAACCAATAATAAGCCAGAACTTTGTTTGGCCTAGTTTTAGATTTTAGAAGAACAATATAAAATTAAAATAATTCTAAGAAAGAAAGAAAAGAGCATGATTTTAGAAAAAAAAAATAAACTGTTTTTTTTAGTTAAAACAAATTATCTATGAATTTTCAAAAGTTAAATCAGATTTTATATTTTAAAATCCATGTTTTTCTAGAAAAATATTTGGATAATTTTTGTGAAAAAAATATTTCTTTAATTTTTTTTGATAAAGCTTAGTTGATCTTCCTTTACTGTCCTCAAAGCTCAATTTTACCTTTCTCGTGGCTGACGTGGTGCTATGTAAGATGGTTGATGTGGCGCTACGTGAGTTAATATTGCTTTCAAAGTCATATAAAAAGATTAATCGAACGGTTTTAAAAGTTGAAGATTCTAAAATCTGATTTTTTGTAACAAGGGAGTCCCATTCCTCCAAAAATGACGGTAGATGAGTAGTTTGTCTAATGAAGTTGAAATATTTTAAAAAAATTATTTGGTAAAACACCTTCATACAATAATTTTTAAGAGAAGAAGCTGGCAGAATGAAGCTAAAAGTTTTAGCTCCGACTCTAGCTCCTAGTTCAAAGAGGACTCCGGCTCCTTAGTAGCTTCAGGAGTGAGCTGTTTTTTTCTGGCACCTCATTTGCTTCTTGAGAAACGGAAGGCAAACCTTTTTTAAAACCCTACCAAAGCTCCTAGTTATTTTTCTAAAAAAAGGATAAAAATGATTCCTTGGAGCATCTCTAATAGTTCTCAAAACTCACTCCCAATCTTGGTTTTTTGGTAGGATTGAAAAAAAAATGCTCAGTCCAACTCCTCATCTCAGCTCTCAATCTTACTGCACTTGGGAAAATTGAACAACATGTGCGAAAAGTATGTCATGGGGGTGTAACACCTCCGGTGTTACGAGCTCGCTAAGCACTGAGATTATGGTCTGAGAAATAGATCTATAAGTATAGTGAGTTAGTTTAATCAAATGCGATAATGAAAATTCTAACAAGAAAATAAGAAAAGTAGTTTTAATTGTTCGGCACGAAAAGCGATTTCTATAAACAATAATAAAACATAACTTGTATTTAGTACTTAAATAAAAATTGAAGTACAAGTTTTGTAGATGGAAATACAACATTAACTTTTGGGAAACAAAGGTTGTTAATTAGTGTTCTTGGAAGCTCAAAAATTAAATTGAAAATTAAAATTAGCCCTTTTTGTTGAATCGGCAAAAATTTGAAGTGGTGTTAAAAGTATCATTTTTGGCGAATTATATTGAACAACTAGTTAAGTAGTTCCTAGATGTTTTGTTTCTACGAGTTAGTATGACCGTACGGACTAGTGTGTGAAATGTGTAGTGGTTGGAATTAATTAGGTTTAGGCATATTAAAAATTACAGTAAAAGCGCTAAAGGTTGTTAGTTCTAGCTAAGTTCTTATTCTCTCTGTCTGAAACGATGATAGACAATGCCGTTTTGGCACTTAGATTTCAACAAAAACGGATTAAGCAATATATCTATGCTTCTGTATGATTGGTTGCATCAAGGTGAGTACTTGAACGTGGTGCAGACGATGTTCACTCGACAGTTGTCGAACTTCAATAGAACGCGTTGCAACCATGTCGTTAGCACTCCGTTCGTGAACTGGGGTTCAGGGCGACGAACTCATCTTGGCATACTTGTATCTTTCCCCCTAGTCATTTGTTGGTCACGCCGATTGCTTCGCTTGATAGCTGGTGGCGTGGACCTTAGGTTAGTGAGGTTGGTTGACCCTTAGCCGCATTGTTTGGCAGCCTTGGCGTCGCTTCAAAATTCGTGCAAACGCATCGTTCGGCCGTTTGGCTCTGTGGGCGCGGTCACCGTGCCCTGCTGTTGCCTGGCCGTTCACGGCCATGGCCGCGTCGTGGACCGGTCTTGTTGGCTGCCTACCGCGCGCTGAGCTAGGCTGGCCGTGGTCGCGTTTCGCAGGGCCGGGCTAGCCCCTGGGCTGCTATTGCGTGGCCGTCGTGAGTGCGCAATCGGCCACGATGAGCGCGAGCCAGGTCGGTGACGCGGCGGCTACCGTGTGGTCGACGTGGTGCCCGCCTTGTCGCTCAATCCAGCTACCACGTCGTGACCCGGCATGCCTTCTGCTCGTCGTATCTGAGTTGATGGCCCCAGTCGCTGTGGCGAGGGTGATACCCTCTGCCTTGCCTGTCCCCGCTAGCCGGCACCGACATGACCGATCGAGCTTGGCTGCTATAGCACTAACGCATTGCGCTAAGCACCCACATCGCGTTACCGAGGCGTAAGTACTCGCACTGTCCCCACTGGTTGGAGCTGCCCCGCCTTAACTTGCTCGGCTCGCTCGTGCGCACGCTCCACGGCCGCCCGTGCGCTTGACCGCCGCCTCTCCGTCCCTTGATTCTCTTAGCTCAAAGCTTTCAAGTCCAATTCCTCGCGTCTGTGAGTAGAATAGGAAGTTAGCTGGATGTCCCATTCTCGTCAAGCTCAGCCATGGTCTTTTGGTGGTCAATTTTGGGTTTTCCTCGCCGCCGGTCATCCCGTCGCCGTGGGATGGCACGTGTGGGGGTAAGGCATTATGCTTGGTTTTAGTTCGATTCAATCCGGATATAGGCTCATTTTGATACTCTTGTGTCGGTGCTTCGCCTTAGCTCACTGGATGGGATGCTGGTGAGTGGATTTGCAGCGTCGGTGTTCGCCCTGAGCACCGCCGCCCCATCAGCTCGCATGTGGCCAGCGCTGCGGGGGCCATCTCCAAATTCACCACCACCTCGATCATGTTCGTTGTAAGCTGCTGATGCTCAATCGCCCACTTTTAGTCCGTTGATTGCGTTAGCTTGCCAGCCCACTTGCGCCACCGTGGCGGTTGGGCCGCCACCGTGGGTAGCACTGTAGAAGTCACCGTTTAACTCCTAATCTCCGCCCAGGGTTTTGTCTTGGCTCTACGGCGCTCGTCGGCTCGATTGTGGGATTGGTGTTTCATTCCTGTGGTCAATGTATGCGCGCTGCACCGACCAGAGTCACGCCGTCGTGTGCAGGCTACTAGGGACCATCTCGTGGTGAGGATGAGATAGTTCGGGGGCTTAGCTACAAAGCGCGTCTCTTGCTGAATAGTGTGCAAGTGCTCCGTGTAATAACTCGCTAGGTCAGGGGCTCTTTTGCAAGATACGCTGGAGCGTTCGCGCTGCGGGCCTGTCGGGCTGGCCTGCTACACGCGTGGGCTCCCTGTCGCAGGCCATTTTAGTTACTGGACCAAATAGTTGGCCACCGGCCTTTTCTTTTTCAAAAGCATTTTCCAAATTAGTTTCTAAGGCAAACTTGTAAATTCAAGATAAATTTGTGTAGATGTCCAAAAATAGTGAGACTAATTTTGTTGGACTCCTAAAATCATGATCTATCTGCTAGTATATTTTGTTCACATAGTTTTATAATATTCTTAGGAGTTATATAATTAAATTGAGATACTAAATATTGTTAAAACATAAACTTGTAGGAATTGTTGTGATAAATTAGTGATAGTGTTGGCTCTGAAATTTTTACAGTAGATTTCTAGCAATATTAGGTGCTCACTGTAATTTTTGTAGCTCCACAGAAATTAGTTGTTAAGGTAATTAAATGAGCCCTAGTTCAAATATATAAGTATTTAATTAATAGAGAAACAACTTGGGTTTGTATAACTAAAATATTGTGGAAAATTAGCGCCTAGTTCGACAACTTAGATACGTAGCCTAGCGTGTTAGAGCTATCTCATTAGCTTGCGAGGCGTAATTGAATTTCTAAGAGTTTCGGTTGTCGTTGATTATTTACATCTATGTGTTGCATCCACGTATATCATAATAGGACCAACGATGGATCATGGAGACGACTAGAGTAGCAGAAAAGATGGTGCCTTGGTGATCATGTTGCCACGATGGAATGCTAACTTTTGGTTATATCTTCCCTAGGCAAGTCCCGGTGCATAACCCCTATTATTCTGCACTTTAATTTATGCTTGTGCATTAAGTTTAAGGAGTTGAATGAAACCACTTGCATATATATCATTATCCTATGAGTCCTACTAGTATGATAGAATCATGTAGATTGCTCTGCTACAGGACTTCGGTAGAAGTCGAGTGATTGCCTGTCACTCGTGAGAGATAGGAAAGTATTATTATTGATATTATATTATTATCACCTGGAAAATATATTTGAATGATAATTGGAGACCGGGTGGAATGGTACTTTGGATTTGGACTTGGTTTGGCATTCGAGCGAGGCTCTAATTGCGCTTGTTCCGCCTATGTCGGTTAAGGACCGTCCGTTACATTGGATTCTAGTCAGGTTACAGATTTATTATCCTGGGCACATACTTGTTTATGGGAGCAGGGAATGCTTGTTGCTCTCTTGTCATGGGTTCTGGCTTTTTCCGGACCGACTGATTGGAGATAGGGATAGTGGAGGTCTAAGCACCACACTGAGTTCGGGACTCAGGTGTGGGGGCTTAGAGTGCAAGTTTGGACGGGGACCTGGACCCCTTGACAGGAGAGTGATGGGTTGGTCCTGTTTGTGCCTGGGGTACAAGCGGGGCGTGTGTTTCGGGGTACCCAGCTGGGCATATTGATTCGCGAATCGTAGGGTAGTCTGGTACGACTTGTCTACAATCTGGCACCATAGTAAGAACTGGAATCTGAAAAGATGCTAAAATAGTTTCGATTGCTTACCACCGCTTGAAAGTAGCACATGTGCTTACATAGAATGGTTAGTTAATGAACTAATGATGACCTGCTAATGAAATTGAATATAAGGATGCACGCTTAGTAATGCTTCCTGCAGATGCAATAAAACCCACAAGGCGAGATAGCCTTGCATATCCTTAGAGTCTTTTCTTTTCTTCTGACGGGTAAGTCTTGCGGAGTACAATTGAATACTCAGGGTTTGTTCTACCCTGTTGCAGGTGACAGAAACATATGGAGCTGACACTTGTGTGTGGAAACCTCCTGGTGGGCTCAGCGAGGATTTCCTTAATGTTGCGGACATAGAGTTTATTTGAAACTTTCACCCAAAATGTTTTACAATGAAAAAACTTATAACCTGTTATGATGTATATAACGGATCATCATGTTAATGTTTGACTTGTCATTAAATGATTTTATTTCCACTGAAACTCTGATAACATGATCAAATTCCGCTATTATAAACAATAAATACTATACTCTGATGTTGCATGAAAAGTGATGTAAGAAATGGCTAAAATGTTGTAAGCTTTGTTCTATCATTTGTGATCCTGATAGAAAAAAGTGGATTCTCGGGTTCTCCCATGTGGTGTGCTCGACGGAACTGCTTGATGTAGCTCACCTTCGGGGTGCTTAGTGTCTAATGGAAGACAAGTGCCTTCGTAAGTGTGTTATCTCGGGACGGTTACGCCATAGGGGCTACTTTCAATCCAGCGTTGGTGCAAGTTCTTTTGATGTTTCTTCCTTCTCGCACTAAGGAAGAAGCCACCGCCGCCTCCTAGAAGTTGATCACCACCTCCACCACTACCTAGACATCTGGCCGCCCCTAGCCAAGGCGGCAGGGGTGGATCCAGTATATAGTTATTGATGGTCTCTTAGAAACATTGAGTAAAACATCTAGAAAAAATAGGAAATAGCACTTATAAATAAGAAGCCACCTAAGTTCTACTAGCAGTAACATCAACTAATATTTTTTTTCTAGATCCAACCCTGCTGTTCACATCCACCGCTTGGTAGGCTACGGCCACCGTTGATCTGACCTTGCATGGTTGTGTTCAGCTATGGCTAGTTGCGATCCGCTAGGGCGCGTAGGGGCTAGTTGTGGCTAGCTGTGACGTCTATGAGGGTGGCTGGGGGCAGGTGTGGCATGGCCAGAGATAGTTGTGGTGAGGCTGTGTGTGTGGGCCTGTTCGCTTGAACTTATCAGCCAGCTTATCAGATAGAATCTACAGTATTTTTCTATCATAACAAATCAGCTTCAGCCGGCTTTAATACTAGCCGAATAGGCCCACATATGGAATCTTTTAGTGGCACTGCTAGCACCTAGACGTCCAAGGTATGCCGTGGTGGCTCTGATCTATTTTCGTGCCTCCGTTTCACGTGTCCACGCGAGGGCCCATGCCACTCGGATGTCGCCTGCTCAAGATCTGCATTTTCACGCATACCACGCAAGGCCTGCTCGCGCCCCCTCTCGCTTCCCATGTGCAACACACAATCTACTTTTAAAACATCCAGATGCAATACTTGCAACATACAAAAGAAGACAGATGAAACACTTGAAACATGCGTCTGAAACACTTGCAAAAATACGTGAAAAACACTTGAAAAATATTGCAACACATACGCAACATTAGATAAAACACTTGCAACATATGTGTGAAACATATGCAACATCTAGATAAACACACTTGCAACATATGTCTGAAAAACAGATGAAACATTAGGAACAGACGCTTGCAACATACGTTACAAACCATTGCAACATATGCAATATCCCGATACTTTTGCAACATCCATATGAAAACAACTGTACCATACGTTTGTAACACATGTTTTCAGCGCAACGGGCGGCGCGGCGAACTGACGCGGTGGAGGCGGTTGAGACAGCGGATGGTGGCACCCGACACGGTGGAGTCGGCTGCGGCAGTGGAATGGAGGCACCCCTCCGTAGTTGAGTCGGCCACGGCGGGCAGTCGGATGGAGGCACCCCTCCGCAGTGGAGAAAAATACTGTTATTTTGTTGAAATAATCCAGCTGATAAGTTGAAGCGAACATGGGCCATCTCGTGTACCCGTGTCGTCAAGACAGGTGCAGGAGGCAATGTTCATGATGAGTACAAAGCAGTACGTACACCGGGACACGCGCGTTGATGCGGCAGCCTGCAATCGCCACGTCCGCTGCACGTGTCGCCCGCACCCGTACATAGTAGCACAGTATAAACAAGAGCTACCATGCGGCGATCCACCATCATCTCGAAGAAAATCCAAACGCAATGGCCTGGATGAGCTCCCTGAAACCGGCCGCCGCTCTCGTCCTGCAGCTCCGACGCGCGCCGACTGCTGCTGCTGCTGCTGCACCGGCGCTGCTACGCCGTCACATCGCGACCTCCACGACGCGGCCGCACGGCGGTGACGTCGACGGTGATGGCAGAGACGACAGCGGCGGCCGCGTGATAGATAACCCGCCGCCGGAGATGGCGCCGCTGCCCGAGGACGCGCGCCGCCGCAGACGCCGCCGAGGCTTGGGGAGCCGGACCCCGCCGGCCCGCCGCTGCCGACGACGTCTAAGGACAAGCTTGGGGGCGGCGCCATGCACGACGGAGGGAGGCGAAGGCGCAGGCGCGCCCGGGCGCATGCCGGACAACGCCCCGCCGCCCGACGTGGAGCTGCCCGAGGTCTCCCCGGACGGCAGAAACGTGTAGACGTAGGGAGACAGGCAGACAGCCAAGCGCGCTGGCTAGTGTTGCGAAAGGTTTGTTTGGAACTTTGGATCGGTGCACAGTGTCAACGACTCGGTCCTGGTCCTCCCAGTTTTTTTTTTTTTGAGCAGAAGTCCTCCCAGATACAATACTACTGTTCTTCAGGCACCAGAGGAAGCAATCGAGCTGAATGGGCTGCGGCCCAAAAAAACTACTAACGCTACTGTAAGAATCTCAGGCCCAGAATAGGCGTTGTAATGAAGTCCTCCTCGAAGTATATATAAAAAGGAGGAAGAGAGCCAAGAGGGAGAGTTATCGAAATTGTAAACTGAAATTCCCAAACTACTGAAATCCTGTCCTCTCCCAATCCTGCGTGCTCCCTTTTCCTCTTATTCTTCTGCTGCAAGCCAGCGCTAACACACATGCGCCCCCTCCTTTGTTCAACTTCAACGCAAACAGAGGGAAAAAAACAAGAGTGAATGAAACTGGCAGAGTATTCTTTGCATGTGTTTATGCACAGAAGAAAGAGGTGGAGCCCGAACTCGGGTGCACGTTACGTTTGCATATATAATTAGCTCAATCTAAATGTAACATAGTCCGTTTAGAAAAGCGGTAATGCTGGGGTCATAGTCCGTTTAGAAAAGCGGTAATGCTGGGGTCAGGACGTCTGTCCATGGCTTCCCGTAGAAATTTTTTGCATCCCGCATAAATTTCCCCACTCCATCGCGTCGTCCGCTCCCTCCCGTCCGTGCTGTGCGCTCCTGCCGCCATCCCCCTCCGCGCCTTAATCCCCCCGCACCGTGCTGCTTGAGCTCTCCCCATTCTCGTCCTCCCCATCTCTCGGTCTCTCTCGCATCCGTTGGCAACAACAAAGCCGCACACCGTCACCGTTGGCTCCTTCCTCTACCAAAGCTAACCACACTGCCTCCTCCCTCTTTCCCAACCCAGCACTTTCGGGATGCATCGCCGCTACCGCTGCCCCTACCGATGGCCGCTGGGTGCATGTGCCAGGGTGCCAAAGGTCTTCCACGGCAGAGCCAAGGGCACCCACGAGCACGGTTGATGCTGGTAGTGCTCGCGCGTCGACGCTCGCCATTGGCTCCTACCCCGATGCCCAGAATTGACCGGCCCCGGCCTCCCCTCCGCCGGCGATTGCCGTGTTTCAAGTATATGGGTTGCAAGCGTATGTTTCAAGTGTTTTAGGTATTTCCAAACGCATGTTTCAAGTGTTTTATCTGGATGTTGCAAAAGAAGATCTGCACGTTGCATATACATGAATGTTGCAAGCATATGTTCCATGTGTTTCAGGTGTTTCACACGTATGTTGCATGTGTTTCATCTCGATGTTTCATATGTTTGCAATGACTTTTCAAGTGTTTTGTAAGTGTTTTCAGACGTATGTTTCAAGTGTTTCAGCTCTTTCGGACATATGTTGTATATGGATATTGCAAAAATAGATCTGGTGTTGCACATATTGCAGTGAGACCCATCTGTCGTAGCCACCTACTGCAGCTGCTGGGCGTCGCCGAGCGGGGGCGTAGATGGTCCCTGCGTGCGACACGAGCAGGGCGAGTCGCCCCGACGGGCACGGAGCCTCGTGTGGGTGCACGAATCGAGGTGCAACACGAGAAACGGAGCATGGGAATCGTAGTGGACGGTGCACTCGACACAGTGCAGGCGTGGGCGTCCGTCCGGACGCTAGGCACGCTGTTAGAAATTTTATATAGGGTGCTTCCTATTCGGTTTGTAATCCGGTGTCTCGTGGGAACAGGCACGGCCCAGAGGGGATCGTGGACTGCGGCCGCTCCCAGCCCACGAGTCGTAGGGCCCCTCCAAGGTTCCTATATATACTTAAATAAGCCTGGTCCAATTACAAGCCAGTAGCGTAGGCCGACACTCTCATATTTTTTTTTATCTCTGTTTATCACATTATGGGCCAATCAGGATGCAAAGAAAGTCTGACGCCGACCTTAATTCTACCTATACGAGCCTAAACTTCTTAGCTAGAACTGTGATCTTTTTAAACGGTACTATTTGTGTGTGTATCTTGCTTGTCACCAAGGGCACACTTAACCTATTCGTGTGCGAACAGGAGGCATGTTTGGATGCTGGTAAAACGGGGTAAATATGATTAGAATTGGGTTTGACGACAAACTCGTGTACATGTATTGTTGAGTTCACGAAACCAAAACATAATATTATCTAATGAGTAAAGTCCATCACCGGTCCCTAAACTTGTACCACTGTGTCGTACCGGTCCCTAAACTCGTAAATTGACCGTTTAGGTCCTCAAACTTGTTCATCTGTGTCATCTCGGTCTCTAAACTTGTTCGTTTGTGTCATCCCGGTCCCTAAATTTGCAAATCACCCGTTTAGATCCTCAAACTTGTTCAGTTGTGTCGTCCCTGTCCGTAAACTTGGTTTTGAGCCTTATCTGGATAAAAAACAAGGCGATCTAAAAACTTTATATCAAAAAATAATTCATAACGTTTTCATATAAACTCGAATGAAGACAAACTTTATATCAAAATTGTACCCCTTGACGCGATCTACAACTTTGTAGTTGAAAAGTTTTTGAATTAAAACTGTTTAGGCTCCCAAAATATTATTGTATGTTAATAGATTTTGAAATTTGGAATTTAAAATTATGAAACAGTCTTGGATATTGATATAGTCTATATGAAAGTTATAGCTCTCAATACGATCTACAACATTGTAGTTGAAAAGTTTTTTAATTAAAACTATTTAGGGTCCCAAAATATTATTGTAAGTTTATAGATTTTAAAATTTAAAATTATCAAATAATATTGGATACTGAAATGGTCTATATGAAAGCTATAGTTCTCAGTACGATCTACAACTTTGTACTTGAAAAGTTTTTTATTTGAAGTCATTTAGTGTCCCAAAATTTAATTTTAAATTTTAAATTTTAAAATCTATAAACTTACAACAATATTTTGGGACACTAAACAGTTTTAATTAAAAAAAATTAACTACAAAGTTGTAGATCGTATTGAGAAATATAACTTTCATATAGACCATGTTAATATCCAAGATTGTTTGATAATTTTAAATTTTAAATTTCAAAATCTATAAGCATACAACAGTATTTAGGGACCCTAAACAGTTTTAATTCAAAAAAAATTCAACTACAAAGTTGTGGATCGATTCGAGGGCTACAATTTTGATATGAAGTCTGTCTTCAATCAAATTCATATGAAAAAGTTATGAATTATTTTTTGATATAAAGTTTTTAGATCGCTCTGTTTTGACCCAAATGAGACTCAAAACCAAGCTTAGGGACTGGGATGACACAACTGAACAAGTTTGATGACCTAAAAGGGTCATTTTTAAGTTTAGGGAACGAGATGACGTAGCTGAACAAGTTTGAGGACCTAAATGACCGATTTACGAGTTTAGGGACCGAGATGACACAGCGTTCCGGTGAAGGACTTTACTCTTATCTAATTTATGGGTGAAAAAATGGTTTTAGTTACGTGGATTTTTGTCCATTTCCATAAAAAAAAACAGTCCGGCACTTTTATTTCCTCCTAGTAATAAAAATTATGGAAAAATATTTTCCTGGAAAAAAGGAACATGAATCTATAACTTATTATTACAACTATAAAACTTAAAATGTAACTTGTAAAAGCTAGCAAAGAGTGCAAAGTACGTCTCCCGGCCGGTTCACCGGTATCAGCGTCGGCATTGTATAGACGACGTCGCCCGCAAAGCGCAGTCGCGTCGCGCCTCTCCTAACCGCTCCAAACGAAAGTCCGCGAACACTATTTTTGTCTTTGTATTGAAATATTCACTATCCATTATGGTTCTGGGTTAAAAAAAATGCTGCAAAGAACGACATGATAAATGTTTTCTAGAATATACTTATTTGAAGAAAGAAAAATGTTTTTTTTGTGCCGAGTAAAAATGCTCAATTGTTACGTTCAAAAAAAATGCTGAATTGTCTTTTTTTTATTATACTGTATGTGTATAATAATAAATAGAATCGATTATTATTACTCCAAGCTGCGGTATGGATTCCAGTGACAACTGACAACAACGTAGTTGTCGCAGCCCATGGCGCTGGAAGGCCAAACAAGAACTCCTACGGCGGAACGGATCCGACCGGGTCCGCGGCGGAACGGGTCGGCGCCGCCGGGACGTCAAACACTCGGGCTCGCTCGGCTGTTCGGCTCTCCGATCCTCTGGACCGGTCCGGTCCCCCGGTGTGGATACGTGCGTGCGTGCTCAGCGACCACGAGCCCGGGCGAACGCGCGAACGGGCGCCGCCTGCCTCTGCCTGCTGCTGCCGACTTGGACCCGTTCCACTCCACGGGAGCACGACCACCACGCGCACGTCCCCGCGGTTGCGGATGAGCTGGTCTGGTGTCGTTGGAGCGTGCCGCCCGTAGCCGTCGGGGTTGCGTCGCCCACGCGGCAGCATGCATACGCATGGAGATCGACGGCAGGGTCGCGGAGCCGGCCGGGGGCGGGCCGGCACGTACGTACGCCTTGTTGAATGGGACGGAACGGATCGTCGGAGTGCTGCTGCCTCGTCGTCGGGTGTCCCTGTCTGTTACCGGTCATCCTAGTCGTCCGAGTCAAGTGAGATGGACCGTCCCGTCCCATCGCTTTCGTCGCGCGTCCCCGTGCTCAATCGCACGCTGGCTGCCTGCACGACCCAGACAGAGGCTAGAGCTACCCCATCGGTGCGGTAACTACACGGTACTAGTACACACATCCTCTCATCTTTAGTTTAGCCGACCGAACCATCCAGAAGAAGAGGACTCGATGCATTGATCCTGTCAGCTCCGACTCCGACTGACTGCATGCGGACGGACGTGGTAGCAGCCACACTTAAGATGTAGTCAGTTTCTTTTCACCGTAAATATTCGTTTAGATTTGGCGACTAATTTTGAGGCTAGCTAGCCCACCGGAGCTAAACATGACCTAATTATAAAACTAATTATAGAAACCATAACTAATTCGTGAGATAAATTTAT